AAAAAAAAAAAAAAAGTGTAGAAGTACTACTAACTTCAAGAAAAACAATATCCACATCATAAAAACCCTAAATAAGGAAGTAATTTATGTGACATGTAACTTACCGCTCCTTGGTACATTTCAATTTCCTTGTCTCCAAAATATGGCATCTGCTTGAAAGGGTTGACTGAGATTAATACGGATCCTATGTATGTCTGAATTTAAACTCAGTTAAGGTCCATCATTAATCTTCATAGCTATACATTTTTCAAATTAATAATCAGACGTTATCAAGAATTTGTTATGACTATCCAAGTGGAAAGCTTGTGTACTTGTTTTCTAAAAGATTACAAATAAAGACAAAAGGAATCATCCAACTAGCATAGGCTTTGTTCCTCCTCAGGAAGACTAATGAATTATCAAGCTACTACAAAATGAAATAATTATTTTAAATGATTAAAGCACATTCTTTCAAGATTGGTAACATGTACAGCAAGGAGAAAAGAAAACAAAGCAAAAATGGCCAAAGAGTGAAAAAAGCAGTTACCAGTCCTCCCCTCAAAAGATATGCACTTTTTCCTTTGAACTTTCGTATCTGTTAGGTACCCTAAAAGCATATTCATCAGCCAGGCTCGGTGGCTCACGCCTGTAATCCCAGAACATTGGGAGACCAAGGTGAGCAGATCATTTGAGGTCAGGAGTTCAAGACTAGCCTTGCTCACATAGTGAAACCCCATCTCTACTAAAAATACAAAAATTAGTGGGGCGTGGTAGCGCACACCTGTAATCCCAGCTACTCTACTCGGGAGGCTGCGGCAGAAGAATCGCTTGAACCTGAGAGGCGGAGATTGCAGTGAGCAGACAACTCATCCCTACACTGTAGCCTGGGTGACATAGCGAAACTCTGTCTCAGAAAAAAAAATTCATCTACTCATTTAGCAAATACAGGGATACAAGATGAACTAACAGCTCTGTTCTCCAGAAGGTTAGAGGACTTAAAAGGCATCAATAAGGTAATTTCCTGGCCAGGAACAGCGGCTCATGCCTGTAATCCTGGCATGTTAGGAGGCTGAGGCGGGTGGATAGCTTTAGACCAGGAGTTTGAGGCCAGCCTGGGCAACACAGTGAAACTCCATCTCTAAAAAACAACAACAAAAATAAAAATAAAAAATATTAGCTGGGCATGAGGGCATGTGCCCGTAGTCCCAGCTACCTGGGAGGCTGAGGCAGGAGTATCGCTTGCGGCCAGGAGGTAGAGGTTGCAGAGAGCCTGTATCAGAGGTTACAGCAAGCCAAGATCACGTCACTGCATTCCAGCCTGGATGACAGAGAAAGACCTTGTCTCAGAACAACAGAAATAATCATAAATAAGGTAGTTTTCAGAGAAGAAAATTATAAACCCACCTACATCAGGGTTTAGGTAAAGAAAGTATGATTTCTGCTTGGGGAATCCAAGAAGGCCTCTCAGAGAGGCTATACTTACCCTGGGCCTTAAAATTTTAACACAACATATTTTGATGTGCCAAAATAAATCAAGACTTATGATCACATGAAAAATATTTCCATTTATTCATTCAACTATCAACTAATTTGAATTGGGTGCTAACTTAACATGCCAGGCACTGTTTTAGATGTTCAGGATATGACAGTGGACAAAATAAACAGAACAGAAAAAACTCCTTGACTTCATGGAGGAAAAAAAAACCGAAAAAAACACCACACGTTCAAAGCTGTTTCTTTCAATGATCGATTAAGGTGTTTGGAAATTTTACAAATAAATTGTTAAACAGAAAGTTATTTGCAAATATATAGCTTCAGATAAAGACTTAAAACTATGAGATTTCCTCGCACAGGTGGAAATTTTTATATTTACATATTAAGACTTGTGTAGCACAAAAACCAGCCCAGGTGTTGAGTCAGATGGGCTGGTGCTGATAGAGATAAAACAGGACCTACGTAACAGCCTCACTATAATTAAATGAAATAATTATAAAATGCTCAGCACTGTGTCTGAGCATAGCACGTAGTAGTGGCTTTTCCCTTAATATCCTCTAAGGTGCATGTTTTATCATGGTAATATCTGAAATTATGATGGATCTTTCAAGTGTGGCTCCTTAACATGAGAGGCGCTGTTTCAGAGGCAATGGTTTGCTAGTTTCTATTAGACACAGTGTTATTATTATTACTGAATGTAAATCAATGTGAGATGGATATTATCAGAT